ACGGATCTTGCGAGGCCTGAAATATAGTCTGTGGAATTAATTTCCAAAGTGGGAAAAATGAGTCTCAAAACGTTATATGAGGAAGCATAAGAGCTACAGCACAATGAAGAGATTCATAAGGAAAAACATTTTATTGTTAAGGGCAGCACAAGGGGAGAGGTGAACGTGCACACTGGAACGGGAAAAACCACGAGGAGTCAACAACCAGCCGAAAAAATTCTCACAGAAAAGAAATTTTCTCAAGGCCAGGTACACCCCAAGGCGACGAGCAAACAGCAACGACCATTTCCAAATGGGGCTCTCCCAACGTTGGGATAATGCGCGCGAACCAGGAAAAATCAAATATCGAAAAAACCCTCACTCCAAACACGACATCCCCTCTCTCCAGCGGCGAAGACCCCCCCCCCTAAAATTCCTTCGTGACGAGGTCCACTGCTTTTTACGCCCAGAGGGACTAGAATTTTAGGATCACCTATCTACTAACGGACAAAATACAGTTCCTACTAATCACTGAGTGGGAAAATTTGAGACTGGTTTATCGAATAATGAAGAACAACACTGCTGCTGGAATGCGTTGTTTGCACATGGTTTTTCGCCAGTTAACTGTTACACTTATCTATCTGTTGGGTAGTCCTTTATTCAGGTGATCAATCAGACTTGGTATTCGGGGCAGCGCTCGTTCTGTCCCCGATATGCTAACCAGTTAGGCTACGCCCACTAGCGCGGCATGCGCTACATGGCTGCTGGAAAACATCACTAGATAAGCAGCGCTATCGCACAACAAATTTTTGAAACAGGAATGTCCCGTTTGAGCACGTACAGATTCGAACGATGACGGGCATAGTTCAAGTGAGCTATGTTTATCGTGGTCCGTCCTCCCCTATTCATCATTGATGGTCGAATTTTGTAAAAACATACAAAGAGATACCCAAATTAATAAAAAGACGTAGCCTACAGATATCTGAAGTTCAAACTATGCAAAAGAAGTAGGAAGTAAGAGTAGAGTAAGTATGCAAGAAGTAGAAGTGCGAAAGAAGTGTGTCAAGAGGCTCTTGCTCTCCTCGTGCCAAGTGAGCCAATGAGCAGGGCCTCAGCATTTCGAATTTTGCGGAAGAGCAGTCAAAGCAGGAGGGCAAGTGGTAGCAATATTTAAGAACTTCTTTTCTTTCTCTTTTCAAGAAAAGTAAAAAGAACAAAACCCACCTGTGAAGCATACATTCCTCCGTAATCTCCCTGTGACTGACCCATACGGGCTGAAGGACCGCCGAGAGACTGTGGTGTAGGCGGCCATGCAGAGTTGTTGCGACGCCCAGGTGGCATTCCTGCAAGGACGACTTGTAACTCGTTCCGTTGGGAGTATTGCGTACCATTTGTCTTTGACAATAGCAAGTTTTAGTACGGTGAAGTAAAGAGCCTACGTTGCTGGGGCGGTTGCGGAAACGGTGGTGGAGGGAACATATGAAGCATATGAAGAGGAACAGGTAGATTAGCCGCATGACGTAAAGATTGGGCTGATATCGCCGAGTGAGGATCCATTGGTGGAGCGTCTCTTGAGTATCCACCCCGATATTCGCGAAGTGTATATGTAGCCCGCTGGATGCCGTAACGGTCAGTCTGAGAAAAATATAACATTAAAAAAAGAACTCATATCAAACGGGATTCTCTGAGACTTAGATAGGTAGCGTAGATGAAAAAGCAAATGAGAAGTTACCGGGTACGCTGGATTGCTCCGTTGTGGTTTCGGCTTCGGCAAGGTAATTTGAACCGATTTGAGATTATTGATCGGTCCTTCAACTATAACATTTTTCTGACTGAAGGTTGTCAGAAGATCATTCCAAAGTGGCTGACGAGCGAGAACCTGAAAAATCGCCTAAGTGTGGATTTTGCATGGATAACTACTGGGTTGAAATGATACCCTAATTTTTGAGCCATAAGGCACGTTTAATTGCAAGGGCCCACATGAAAATTTTGCAGACGTTGCAGCGGCTGTTTTTTGGCATATAAGATATAGTGAATAAAGGATAAAGTCTTCGCCGTTGATCAATCCCTTTGTGGGATGCGGCACGCATTCTACTTCCATTCAGAATCGTAGTGGCTTACTGAATGCGATGGCCTATACAATGAAATGCGGGGCCAGCCAACGTACAGGTCAATGTACTCAGGCTCCCAGACTAATCTGGTACCAATTTAGCGTCCCCGGAGGGTAGGGCTTGGTTGGATTGGGCGGGAGTCGACCCGAGGATTCGAACCCAGAACCGCGTGAGTGGTAAGAGTGCAACTTGCCACTACATCACCCCGCATCGAAGGTATAATACAAATAATACTATCTACTAATGAAACATGGACCCAGGAACAAGCTTTTTAAATACTTGTCATGAGACTTTATCCCAGATGCGAAGCGGATAAGTCCGCAGCTATAGTAGAATGCTACTTTTTCCGCTCGGGGTGCACGAGGACGGGACCCAGGGACGTCTCCATGTCTGCGCTCTCTAAAGGTTTACCATTCGCGTCGCTGCCAAGGTTCACCGACGAAAGCGAAACACGCATTTAGCAGTAGAGAACAGCCAGAAGAGAGAGCGGGCAAATAATAGCGCGTTTGGCTGTGTCTAGGCTAGCCGTACGGCAGCGCGGGCCGTGCATGGAAATCGCTCTCCGGGTGTCAGTACCCTCCTGCCCGCCCTGTTCACTTTCGAGGGAGAACATGGCACGCTTCAGCAGCTGCGGAACCATTTATCCCACATAAGGTAAAGATGGGAGGAAGTGTACAGTTTGTCGCTTATGGCTAGGAAACGCATATTTTGCCGCGTTTTATTCATGGCGTTCGAGCAGAGCTTTGCCTTCGTATCAGAAAATAGTGTAACTCAATAAATATGCATCGAAACGCGGTCATATTCTAAAAAACTAAAGTATCAAGTATTGCAATAAGTTCTAGCCTTACTGTTATATACAAACGCT